TCCAAGAGAAATGTAGACAACCACCTGGCGGAGATCCTTTGATATCCTGAGCAGGAGGTTGGCCTCTTCCAACTTCATGATTGTATGATTCTCTGAGACAAGAAAGAAATCAAAGTTCCCCTCTCTGGAGCAGAGTAAGCTCAACGTAAATAAGTGGGCAGTCAGCCCCACTGCAGACCCATAATAAAGGCAGAATAAGAAGTTACAAATCAAGTAACTTAACTTTTTTTTGGGGGGGGGGTGAAATTACCTTGGAGGTGGAAAAGTCTAAATCCTGTTCCTAACGAGATAGGAGCCCTCCGCCGAGCAGCTCCCTTTCTCTGCGCAGCTCATTTCGGCCATCCCCGCGAGCTGTGGACCTGGGGCAGGATCGAACCAGGGCGGAGGGGAGGAGGTCCAGAGGCAGGACCATTTCTTCCTCCGGGGGGGGGGCTCCTCCTATAGCAAGACCACGAGTACTGGAGGGGGAGGACAACTCTCCTCTCCGCTAAAATCCAGCCCTTGGTGCTCCCCCTTCCCCTCCCTGTCCCCCCCTCCCATTTCTTGGCCCTTCTGTCACTGGCGTTAAAGAGGTACGCGGGGGGGGGGCGACCCTCCTCGGATATCTCAGGATCGAGGTCTTTCTTGGCCAGCCCTCTCCGCACACACTTTGAGATCGACTCCCCTCCTGGCCATTTCTCACGGCACCTCCTCCTGCCCGCGTCTCCCCGCTTGCAGGTTAGAAAGGGGAGGGGACGGGAGGGTTTGCAGGCTGCCCCCCCCCGACCCCGCCTGGACTGGTCCCTCGAGGCTTGGCTGGATGGCCATCAGGCCCCTGGCCTCGGAAGGAGCGCTTGGCCGCCTCCAAACTGGGGGGAGGGGGCAGCGGGGAGATTTACTGATCCTGTCACCAGCAGCCCAAGACATTTAATTACCTGGTAATTGATGGCTTTCAGCAAGAATAATGAGATCATTTTCATGAGGAGGGAAATGGCTGGCAGAATATTATATATGCTCCCATGAACCTAAAAAAAAAAAAAGGTTTTATGGCATCGGCTGGCAGCACTTACCGTGATTTACCGAGGCTCAGCCTTTGCTCCCTCCCTCCTGGCAACGTGTGTGCAATGGCACCCTCTGTTTACATGCAGGCCTGCCTTCGTGGCTGAGGTGGCAGGGCGCAGGATTTCTCCCAGGAAAGCCCCCTTCTCTGGCTGCTCCTCCCCCCCCACGAGACTCTGAAGAGTATTTGTTTACTTAAATATCTATTGCTGGACCATGCAAACACAATTTTGCCCCCGGGGGGGGCTCTTCTGGGAGAGTCTGCCCGACCGACCGACCTCCGGCTGCAGCGGGTCCGAGGGAGCTCTCCACACCCCGGGTCCTGGACGCGAGCTTGGTGGGGCGGGCGATGAAGCTTCCTTCCGGGCAGGGGAGAGGCCGAGGGGTGGGGAAGGGGCGGTCCCCACCCACAGTCCCTGCCCCCCCCCGCCGCTTCCACGCCCTCCCACGGCCCCGTCCTTCCTGGAGACTCCTCCGAGTGTCCGTCCCCTCCCTGTCCCGAGGCAACCCTCGCGGCCGGGAACTTCCCGGCGATCGAGGCTGGGCGGACGGAGACAGGTCTCTGCCCCAGGAGCTTCCAGTCGGCATCTCGGCAGCGCCGCGGGAGGTCCACAGGGCGGG